ATTTAAGGTGTTCTTCCAAATTTTTTTAATTATCGTGGTATTCCCGTTTGTATAGCGGTGCAAACTCATTATCATTAACCCATCAAAATGCTGTTTCACCTTTTCAACAGCCTCGTACGCTTTGAATTTCCGTAGGGGCTAAAAAATAATTTAGAATTGGTAGTAACGTGTTTTGTGCAAGTTAATTGGTGGCATGTTTCTCACGGAAAGATGGAATGTGTTGAGAGGGTTACTCTACACCGGTACAAATCATATCTGCAACAAAAAACCTGTGGTAGCAACACCACACAGCATATAACACGGTTGCACCACCAGACATAGCAAATTAATTAATTAATTGAGCAATGTTGTATTTATATGAGAAATGCACGGTTAAATTGAATATGTAAAATTATTAAGAACGATTTGTTAGCGCTCGCTGCGGGTAGGACAACCTCATACAATCACGTCAACGGATTCACAGTGAAGCCCTGAGCGGCAGCGCGCGATCGATCACACGGGGTGCAAAACACAGTTGGTGAACAAAGTACAAAAAAATTTGGACCCCGGGAGCAGTACAATGTCACAAAAAGGCTATGACATTCCAACATTGCACACGATCACCACGGCAAACAAAAACATACACAGCTTCTTTATGAGAACGGATGTATCGTACTTCGTAAAGGAGAGTGAATGCTATCCAGCGTACAAAAAAGACGATGATAGAGTGCTGGTGCTACGGATGGTGGGTGATGAAATTGAGATTTACGAGTGCGAGGACAGCAATGATGAGTACGAGTACGATGATAGAGGGGTGAAAGAGCCTGAGGATGGTGCACAGGAGGGTGGCGAGGGCGTGAATGACAGGGAGAGCAACGTTGAGGCGTATAACAGCATGAGCAACATCAGAATCGCTAAGAACATCAAGAGGTGCCGGATTGATGGTCTTTTTGAAGGAAATGTGCTCGCACCCGTTAGCTCTACGCATCTTCTGTTCAAGCTCTACAACAACCTGCCGTGCTTGAAGGACGGCTTCGTATGCCTCGTGTTTAAGGACACCTTGCGGAGAAGTGAACTGCTCTTTCTGATCAATGTCATGCTGAACTACAAATCGGGCAAGGGAATGCTTCTGCTCCCTGAGAGCCTGGCACTATGCATGAGCCTGACAATACAGAGTGCCATCGTGATCCACAACCAGGAAGACACCACGTACATCTCCGTAATTGAGGACTACGTGCTGACAGAGGTAAAGAAGCTCAAAGAGGAGAAGGCCAGCAATATCACGCTCTTCCGTGCCGAGGAAGAGTTTGTTGACGAGTTCGATTCGTGGGAGGAGTTTAAGCTGGACAAGACATTTAGGTGCGATGTGTGTGGCACGTGGTTCGTTAAGGAGAGCATCTTCATGCACGTGATCAAGAAGCACATCAAGAACGGAAAGTGCGAGTGCAGGAAAAGTAAGAACAGTAAATCTGAGGAGGTGGTGGGTGGTGTTGATGAGCGCGAGATAGAAGAGAACAATCAGAACGTGGACGATTCCACCAACGGTAAAGATACGGGGGATAGGTCTGGTGCCGATGAAATGGGCGGACATTCTGAATCGTTCAACAGGAGTGACAGTAACGTATCCTTCCTCAACGTGGAGACGATAAAAGGCGCAAATATAAATGACAGCATCAAGCAGCACGTCAAAGACCACATCACGTACATTTTCAAGGGTAAGTCGGTGTACGAGAAAATCGGGCATTTCCTCCGGGCGTACATCACGAAGGAACGACTGAAAAAGATCAACACGATAATTACGGATGAGGTTACGATCGCTAGGATGAAAGAGCAGTTCAGCACTTTTAATTACGTGGACATCAGCAAGGCAAGCGCGTGGCGAGGCGCAAAGGATTTGATGAGAATTGATGTTGCAAAGGAGCTGTGGATGACCGACAGGGAATGGAATGCGACCAGGCTTAGAGTTCTTAAGGAGAAATTGCTCTTCTATCTGTAGATAGAAGGTGTTTTCGGGGTGAACGGTGCATATTTGCACGGTAAATCGTGTTAAACATTCATTTGCTAAGTAAACGCTCCTTGAATTTAAGGTTTTTGATTTACATTTTGTGTGCAAATGATTTTTAAAGCACAGTTATCTTTTGAATTGTCCCTTTATTCACACGAATGAAAAGCTGTTTTTCTGAGCCAAAAAATTACGAGGCCTCTTCACGAACCGAGACGTATTACGCCACGATGAGCGATAGATGGACGGGTAGGTGTTGTAACGAAGTGAGTCTTGTTCGGCAGTTTACTACATTAATGCCAGTCATCCTGCGGTGTGTCCGTGCAAGTTAGGGAATATTAAATTTTTTATTTTCCGATCTGCAATTCTTTACGATCTTGTCCGTGCTACCTAAATGCGTAGCAAAAGCAAATTATACTAAAACATTTCAATCTAAGTTTATGAACAACTCGAGGGAATGTTTTATTCAATATTGGTCCAATTTAATATTTTTAATTAATTTAACTAAAAATGCTGTAAAGGCGAATTAAAGGGGAAGTAACGATTGGACCTGATGCGGCACACGATTGGAAGGGTTTATGTCCTGTAATCACTCAATTTGCGATCAGAGCAAGTACTGTGCTCGATCATTCCCACGTATATCATTCTTCATATCACCTCTCCTTTTAATATATGCCCGATAAGTCATATCGCTTTGCAATTTGATTCGTTAGTCCCCTCCTATTAATAATTCGGAGATCGCCGTTCCCTTAATGGGCGTGTACGATGTTCTTATGCAGAACTACTCTCTGACTGTCATCCTCCTGCTCGTGTTAGGCACCGTGTGTGCGTACATCATATCGTACAAGATAAATCATAACGTGAAGAAAAGGAACGATGTGCGCAGGAGGATAAGAAATGAGGTGGACAAGCGGATTGTTGGGAACAAAAAGATAAAAAATGATTTTGACAGAGCAACGAAGTAGCATAGGATAAAATGCTATGAGTGCTTTTTGACACTCTGTTGTAGTATTGGCACGTACCTGTGGTAAATATAAAATAAATGCGGTCGTATGAGAAGCACAAGTTGGGTAAAAATGCGCTAGAATCTAATTCAGTAAAAGTGCTGCTTGAAGCGAAAGTATTTTATTTTGATGAGATATGCACTATCCTACTGAATAAACATGATTATACAATCTTTTATTCGGTATTTTGGATGGATCGTATTCAATTTTTGTCTTGCCAAAGAGAAATGACCAAAGCGCAAATTTACGTACCACATCGTTTGCGTAGAAAAACGTTTTATGGTGGGAAACGAACGCTTTACGCTGTTAATACATGAACGGCGTGATGAGGCGCAGCTCAGGAAAATGAAAACTTGGCACCATGCGTTCATCAAACCTGCTCAGCAAGCGGTTGCAGTTGCTCTCTGTGATTAACTCACTAAAGCAAGAACTACCGCATTTTTACGATGTCTACCACCCTTAACACCTGCTTGCATGCCACGAATACGCGCTTTTCCACAGATAATTTTGGTTTCTATCCTTTCATAACGAGTCTACCATTCGGTGTTCCCAGATGCTGCTCGTCTCCGTTATCTTTTCATTTCGGAGTGTGCTGTGCCCTCAAAATGTCAATCTTCAAAAATTTGAAAGTCTCCACTTCAAACCAAACGGGCGGCTCCCAAAAGAAGAAGATCGAGAAGGAAATAGCGCAAGCACTCCCGCAGGACACGCACATACACAAATGCAAGAACAAAATAAAACTGCTGAGCCACAACAACAGTTACATTCTGTTCAATTATAATGATCGCTGGATATTCACGTTGGAGTATTTACGTGCACATCGTGGAAAAGAGCCGGTGTATCCGAGTATATGGATCGATGAGGGCGCGCGTCAGCCCCTTCAGAGAGGTTCTGATATTTTTGTACCGGGAGTCTACAAATACAGAGAAATGATCGATGGGGAGTTTGCCAAGAACGACGTGGTCATAGTTAACATTGTGGGCTATGGAATGTTTGGACTGGCTGTGGCTCTGATAGGTTACAAGGAGATGAGTGCGGACAGCAAAGGAAACGGATTCAAGGTTTTGAGCGTTGAAAATGATGAGCTGGACAGCAAGAGATCAAAGCAATGACCTTGGATAGCATTTAAACCATGATTTGCTCGTTCGTTCGCAATACGTGGTTGTATAAGATACCGAACAGTAAATTAAACCGTGCTTATCTAAAACAGTGAGTAGATTCGTTATTTAGCAAATTTTGTTCATTCCCAAGTGGTAACTCTATCGGTACATGGCATGGTAAAAAGGCAAATTATGGGATCGTAAAGATGTTGATTGTGCAGAACATCATTCTATGTTTTAATCACCTTCCAGTATTATTTCTTTGGCCAGCACCACTTACGAGTCATCATCTCCGTCTCTTTTGCGCTGCTACTTGTGAAGGGCACTTCACTCAGCATTGATACAGCAAAGCAAAAAATTATCGCGTACAACGTTGATTTTATCGGCAATACCCAATATTAGCAATGTAGCACTTTTAATCATCTTTGATCCGTGAACAAGGGGAATATTCGTAATGAATGTGCAACAGCATGAACTACACTTTATGTTTTGCCATGAGAAGCCTGCTGATCTCGCTTTGCATACCAGGACAAAATATTGAGCCAAAACACGCCCATTATTCTGAAAGTATGCCCAGCCGTATAATTCAATTCACCACATACTTCCTTGTAGTTGAGATAGCTTGTTTAGTTGGTGCGTCAGAGCGATCACATCTTTGATAACGATTTACGGTTGTTCTCGGACTATGTCGGCAGACAAAACAAGCCCTAATCAATTACTTGACAGGTAAAAGCATCAACATTAGAAGTTTTTGTGTTTGCAGGTTCGAAATGAACATTTTTAATTCTTTTTATCAAATATCGTTTATTTATCTCCCACAGATCAACACCACTAAAGCCTGTTGCCATTAAAATTGTACCACCTCATGTCAACATTAGATATCATCCTTAAAAAATGATTTATCGGAATGTTCTTCTCTAATACGCTCAGCACCTGTTCAAGGAATTGATAAAGAAAACTTCATTAGTTTGACCTGTTCTACGTGCATGAGATATGTGTGGTGCCCTGCAAAATGACACCATTTCGTGTTTGAACAGACAGTTGTAAGTAGTTAGCACATCATGCCCGCTTCTTCCCACGTGCAAATGTGATTGTTCCACAGCTCAATGAGCACACAAGCACAAAAAATTTTAGAGTGAAAACCAGAATGATTCTTGCAAAATATTTGTATCTGTCAAGTTAATCCTTTCGAGGGAAAAGTTGTTCTTAAAAACTGCCAAAAGTATAAATACCAGGCATTGTTTGTTGATCTCACAAAGTGACATTATTCCGTGCTTTATATCGAATTATACTACTTCTCATACTTTTTGTCATCTACAGGCTCGCGCAACCGATGTACAAAAGGCTAGCCTGTGGAACAAAGGCTAAATCCACGAAAAATAAATGCGTACAAGTAGAAGAAAAACATTATATACCAGCGTACAAGGATGTATTTGTTGATGTTGATGTCAGCGATATAGAACGAGAGTACCATTCATGGCTGCCCGCGTACCTAAAAATAAACGACGAGCACAGTTCTATGAAGTATGTTCGCAGCAGAAGGGCAGAGACTGAGAAAACAGAGTCAAGGACCGTATCTGAGAATCGCTGTGATACTTACGGTGAAGAAGAACACACAAAAAAAGGGATGAGCACTCTGATGAAGGTGAAAATAGTTGTAGGAACCGTGTTAGTTTCTCTTATTGTTCTATCTATCGTGTGCATGGGATGCTTCGTTTATTTTTACCGGTTTAAGTAAGGAGCCCTGGTCCGTGAAGTATGAATTTACTTTCTTTCTGATTGCTCCTCATCAAATGCCCGTAAAATGGCCCGATATAGCAGGAGTAAAGGAGAACTGGTATGAGTGGCACGATGTAGCGCTGTGCTGAATGGCAAAATAAAAACAGCTCCTAAGAAACTTGTTATCGAGTATAAAACCTTAATTCACTTTTTGTGCGCATCACTCGTACGAGCCGATGTACCGGATTCTGTTCCGTTACAATTTATCTGTTATACGTGGTGTATCCGTATGAGTCAAGTCAATTTAATCAACTATTGGCAGCATGACACCACGATCTGTGCTAATTAAAGCTTTTTTTGCGTATTAAGCTTGCTACACACGATAATTCGTTACATATTAGTCTTTTTTTGCGTATTAAGCTTGCTACACACGATAATTCGTTACATATTAGTCTTTTTTTGCGTATTAAGCTTGCTACACACGATAATTCGTTACATATTAGTCTTTTTTTGCGTATTAAGCTTCCTGCACACGATAATTCGTTACATATTACGAGTTTCGCCTGTTCTTCCTTTTAAAACAAATTTGCTTCGCCACTACCAATCAGAAATCCTCCTTTTCCTCACAAGTTATAAAAAATAAAAAGCACCCTTTCCCTATGGACCACTCTCCCCACGAATTAAGCGCCGAAGAGAAGAGGAACGAGGACGAGCTGAACAATATCTTCTTCAAGCTGCAGAACTACACCAACATAATAGCGTACGAAAAGGACGAGAAAGAAATCGATCTACTCCTGAAGTACATCGATGATGACGAGTACATAATTGTGAATCTGAGTATATCGCCGATTCTCAGGGATCGGTTCGTGAAAACGTACGCTGTGAAGAAGTTACCCATCCTTATCAGCTATTCGACCAACATCTACAACGACGAGAAACTGAGCGCGTGCCTAGAGGAGAGGAAGGTGAATGAGGACTCGTTTATTGACCATAAGATTGACAGGATGGTGGGTGAGAAGAAGGTGATGATATTCATTAAGGGATCACCGGACAAGCCGGAGTGCAAGTTCACGAAGGAGCTGATTTCGCAGTTTGATGAGCTACAGCTCAAGAACGGCAAGGACTATTCCTACTTTAATATAAAAATGGACAATAAGGTGAGGAACAGGCTGAAGAAGAGGAACAATTGGCCAACATTTCCACAGATTTACATAGACAGGCTGTTTGTCGGTGGGCTGGACACCTTCAAGAAAATGAAGGAGAAAAAGATCGTGCAGAAAATGCTGTTTCCTGGCGATAAAGAAGAAATAGATTAAACATCATTTTACAATTAATGTTCCAGGAGTGTCGGGTGCCATTAATTTAGCGTGTCTTTCGTGAAGAGAAGGCTTTCTGGAACGGCACTCGATCGCAAGCGCTGCTGTTTGTAAACGACGGAGAGTGCGTAGTAAAAGTTTAAAATTAAATTTGTTAAATCGTAGTATAAATTTATTTCAGGTTGAGGCACCTGTTTTTGCCGTGGGTGCCTATGGGATGGATCAAATGTGAACTGTTACCGTTTAGCGGTGGCAAGGTGCTGTTATGCGGTTTTATCTAAATCGGGTCATGAGCTTTTATTTGAATCTAATGGGATGAGTGCAATAACGGGATGAGTGCAATAACGGGATGAGTGCAATAATGGGATGAGTGCAATAATGGGATGAGTGCAATAATGGGATGAGTGCACTAGTTTTGGTACGCAGGTGCCTCATTGGCGATCTACAACAAGAATGATAAATATTACAACATCGTACCGTGATCCGTATTTGTAATGAGGACTTGTCAACGTAACTGCTGCTTAAATAGCATGCTATACAAGTACGACCGGTAGTAGGTGATAAAAACGATGTAAGGGACAATACAAAACAATTTCATGGCAAGTTAAGTCAAGCGTGTGTTTAAACACCGCGTTAGCTCAGATAACAGCCGAGTTACGATTTATGTTTTGAAATCGGTACTTTTACGAGAACAGCATGCTCCTCGGATGAACAGTGCACCTACCCAAGATTTGACTTGCAGTTGGTGAATCTGTAAAAATGAAGGCGTTCCACAAAATGTTGGTCAAACGTACGAGAAACACAAATTGCTGGTAATATTACGGCCCGTGCACCACCGGTTTTATTTCAAAAAGGCCCACGTTGACTTGACGAGTAGCAAAGAGCACATTTGCACTCATCGTTCACACGATTTCATTTCCCATGAACACCTGTCCACTGGCCGTGGTGCCCTCGGTAAAAACGTAATCGCTTGTTACCTTGCAGTCCATAAGCACGCAACCATCGCATATCGTAACGTTGCTGCCGATCAAGCACCTCCTTATCTTGCAGCTCTTGCCGATTTTTACGTTATTGAACACAATGCTGTCCTCAACCAGTGTTTCATCTCCTATTTCACAGTTATTGCCCACGGTAGCGTTCTTGAGGTACGACTTGCCTATCGTAAGGAACCGGCCCACGATGTTTTTGTCATCGGGAAACGAAATTCTGTTTTTGGTTTTAAAAACGAAGTTCCTGTTCTGCAGGTTGTAATTCATTGCATACTTCTGTCTCTCCTCCTCGTCCAAATCCTGCAGCTCCGCAGTGTGGAGATAAAACGGCAGGTTCTTTGTTCTTTCTCTGAGAATGTTCGTTACTTTCACCAAATCGGTGTACTTCTGTACCTGAAAAATGTCATTTTCTGAATAAAAGAACCGTACCGGTGTCTTGAGCCGCAGCTTGCTCACCAGCATGGGGAAAAGGTTGCTCTTGAACGAGAAGAACTCCCCCTCAATCTCCTCAAACACCTTCACGCGCATGACATACACCTGTGCTATATCAAGATTTGCACTAAATATTGTGCGGCTGTGCTCTTGAAAGAACCTATTCTCCAGCGTATTGTTACAATCATTGTTGTAAAACAGGATGTTATCCTCGTTGTACCCGAGAATCGATGCACCGTCGGCATCCTTCTTCACAATCACGAACACACCGGTCTTCTTCTTCAGGAACACGTTCAAAATCTCCTTCAACTTCATGAAAGAGACGACATCGCCCTTCGTTATTATAACGTGCGATGTTTTTACCTCCTTGATGATCTTCTTCAGGTTGTGGTACGTGCCATCGTACTGCAGCAGCCCGATAAATGTTATTTTGGACTTGCACGCACATTCAGCAACGATCTCGTTCACAAGCTCTCTGTATCGCTCAAGGCCTATGATCATTATCTCGCTGCTTATGTCGTCCATCCACCGCAGGTTGTGCAGAAGCAGCGGTTCGTTGAGGATTGGCAGGCTGAACTTGGGGTACTTCACGGTGCAGATAGGGCTTAGCTCCGTGCTTGGACCTAAGAATACCACTGAAGTGAACGAGGGAGTCATGTGGAAAGGGTACGAGGGGGTAAAAAAAGAAGCAGCAATTCAGAGCGTTGACGAATCTGCCATATAAAATTTACCGACAACGATCGCACAGAATACATACGGTCACGAGGCGGCATAACAGTTGGGAGTGAAGAACGAGCGTATGCTAAGGATCCTATGTTCAACACTTGATTAAATGTTTGCTGCAGGAGTTGCCAAACATGAAGTGCTCATCAGGGCATTCAAATTAATTCAATTGCACGTTATGGGGGAATATCGCACCGCACCAACACGGTTTTCACGGTGTTGCTAGATCGTGTGGAGTGGGTGCACCTGAAAGGAAGGCAATGGCTTATCTTATCCGTTGGAATGGTATTTTATTGAAGATGGCCCTACGATTCGCATATCGATTTCGCTCTCTCGGATGCACCGTTTTTCTCACATAACCTGAAATGATGCTTTTTTGTGTGCTTGTTCTGTGGCACCCGTCTCGCCCAGCTGCACGGTGTGGAACGAAGCTGTGCCAATGGAGAGATGTAAGAGACCATGAAGTGGAGTTATTATCATACCGCCAACCAAGAACTTATCACAGAGCAATATGCTATTTGCAATTCAAAGTTCTGAACATGCCCGCCATTTCATCACTACAACGTGCTATTTGCAATTCAAAGTTCTGAACATGCCCGCCATTTCATCACTACAACGTGCTATTTGCAATTCAAAGTTCTGAACATGCCCGCCATTTCATCACTAAAACGTGCTATTTGCAATTCAAAGTTCTGAACATGCCCGCCATTTCATCACTAAAACGTGCTATTTATCAGCACCGAGTCGTCCGGTCTTTGTTACCACACGGTCAGCTACGTCGCTATTCGTATTTAACGCATCGCACGCTTATTCCACAATGTGATAGGGCTGATCTCCTAGCTCGTAACAATCCAGGTAACAAAGCGCATCGCAAGGGTCCGTGTTATTGATTTGTGGCAAGATAAACAAACGATTTTCATGGGATAGAAAATTGCAGGGGCCTAAAAACATCTGTGAGCAATGCGTACGTATTGGCATGTTGTTCAGCAGAATAAGGTTGTTTAAATTGTGCACTGGAACTGTTCGGTAAGCTACACCGTAAAAAAATGCAGATTCAGAGTAAAAAATACGTGCAGATCACAACATTGAAGGTCCTTCTTTAAAAATTGAACCTGACGGCTGAATCACACACAAAGAAGTGTAATAAATGTTAATTGTGGTGTATTACGTACTTTTACGAGCAATTCATTTAAAAACGTTTTACTGCCATTAAATGGAAATGATTTAACAAAGTACTCATTCGCAGTGATGAGAGGGCGAGTGAATCATTCACTATTGTGCAAAACACAATCAAACAGCCAAAATGGGTGTGTGGCAGGAATAGTACCGTAAATACGGCCATTATCACCGAGGAACGCGGTTAGAAAAATGGATGGATACGAAGCAGCACGGTGAATGCTTTGCTGCAACAGAGAAAAGCAGATCTACGTGCTGTATGCTATCGAACGAGCACAAGCAGACAATGCGAACTGTTAATATCACCAAATAACCGCAAAGCAATGTAAAACGGGCAGTACATGCGAATTTGTTTGTTCCTTTTCACAAAATTGAGCAATCACCGATGTTTTGTTTTTATTTTGTCATGTTCTGAAACACAATCACATATCAAAATATTTGATACAAAAGCAAATTTAAAAGAATAAAACATTTAGTCTCACTGTTCGGAATGAAGAACCACTACAGCTACGCCATTTATTTCGTGTTCACGGTCACGGTTATCATCATATTCATCGAGCTAATGAACGCCATGTACTTCCGATTCGTGCTCTCGGAAGATATGGTCGGTTTTAGGAAGGGTCAAATGGTCTATGAACTGGCCGAAAAGAACAAGACGAGCTTCCTCAGCTCGCAGATCAAGGGCTCAGAGAGCAGAATAATGAGCGTGCTTGTCGACATTGTAAAAACGCTCTTCCTGATATTTGTGAGCTTACTTTTCCTTAACAGGACATTCCAAAAATTTGGGATGAGAGTTGCGAGCGGAAACATTTCGATTGTAAAGCGCGACTTTCGCAATCTGACACGCAAAGAGATAAACTTCCTTTGTCTGGTGGCCGGCCTGTTCATTCTGAACAAACTTGTTCTGCAGATAGTGTCCAAAGACAAGATATCGAAGTACTTTGCGCTTAAAATATCGCTGATGGGCATTATCGGCTATCTGCTAGTTCTTCCGCTTGCGATATTTCTAGCATACGTGCTCCTGGAGTACTTTGGCAAGAAGATTATTGTGGCGTGCTACCTCGCGTACATCATCAAGATCCTCCCAGATGTTCTGATCAACGACAACGTTAACTTTGATAAGATGGAGCAGGTGGATGTGAAGTCGTTTCCGGATGACATCCAGCACCTGCTGTACAAGTACCATCTGGAGGACTCGGTGTTCAAGGAGAAAATACCGGGCTCAGAAAAGAACGCAGCCCTGATCGGATACGGCAAGGGAGCACGCATGGAAATATACGGTAATTTCACCGAGACCGATCAAGATCAGCTTTTCTCCGTGTTCCTGCACGAAATAGGCCATGCCAAAGAAAATACCCTGATGCGCAAGACGATAATTTACATAACTCTGCTCATAATTGAGCTGCTGTTCATGCTGTACATCTACGATACGATCAGCGCAAAGTTCACCACCGAGATAATCTCGGTGTTCACCGCATTTGTGCTACTCGTCTTCGTTTATAGAGCACTGCTCAGACAGTGGCTGCTGATGGTCTATAAGATAGCGTCGCAGCAGTCGGAAATCAACTCGGATATGTTTGCAAAGGAGCACGAGTATGGGAGAGAACTGGCAGAAACACTGTTTAACATTGTAATTGACGCGAATGACTTCCTCAAGCCCACGGCGATATACAATTTTTTGAGGAGTGGCCATCCGGCCATATATGCACGAATAGACTATTTAGGCGAGTAAATAAAAGGATACTTACGATTACCGCGCAGAGTTACCGTGTTTGTTCAGTTCTACAAATGAAATGCATTGCGTGATGAGCATCATGTTATTTTTTGCAAACCGCTCATCAATTTTTGCCACTACCGCGCAATAATCTGTTTTGCTGGCACAGGGAATGAGTAACAGGCACGATACGTAGCTCAATTCTGTATAAAATGGTGCACTTCTTCGTTGAGTCACCGATCGCTCAGCAGAATCGATGGATGTTGTGTTCGTGTTACCGAATTGATAGCGTATTATTCGATCAGGTCGGTACCTACGATGCGAGTAGCAGGCCTTCATTGCACAGCACGTAAAGCGATTGCAAGTACAACGTTACGTTTCTTCATAAAAATGTCTGAAAACGTTATCGCTCCCTATTCAAAGTTGATTCGTACTCCACCACTTGTTCGCCAAAGGTGTATTCCGTATTCATCACATCTCGGGATGTACCCTATGAGGCGCCAAGCACAGAGAGCCAGCTTTCTTCAAAGGTTCTCTCTCCTAAATGCGCTTAAGCACTATTCGCAGAGCTTATTTCTCTGATACGCTAAAATAATCAAATTCGCATTTATCCACGTAATGACCGCTAATAGGCAACAAATGCACAAAACACGTCTTCCCATCAAAAATCCACAGTTTTTATTTTTTTGCCAACCTGCACCCATGGCAGAATACGAATCAAAGCTCCTTGAACTTTTTTCGAACGGTAACGACAACCACATAGACACGGTGTACCTGCGCGATCTGTTCTACTTCCTTGGATACGGTGTAAACGCCGAACAGCTGAGTTTTATCCTCGATCGGAACAAATTCAGGAAGACGAGCGTAACATTCAGTGAGGTGAACAGGATGGTTGAGGGGATGGACGAGATACAGGCCGAGGACATTTTCAAAGCATTCGCGTATTACAGCAGGAACGATGAGTGCGAAGTCAATATCAAAGATCTTAAGGAGGTGTTGGAGAAGGGAAGGAACGGTTTTACCGAGGATGAGATTGAGGAGATCGTACGGCATGTTGAATGTGACTATGAAGGCAAGTTTAACTACGAAATGTTTGTTGGTAAGAAACTGCTTGGTGAGTAAAGCTGTGTTTTAGCGTTTATACCTGTGACTGCTTAGGGCCGCCTTTTGTTTTAAGCAAAATTTTTGGCCTAATAAGCGTGCCATCCATAAATTTTACACCAGCTAACACCAAATGGACAGTTCACCCGTAATTTGTGTTGCGACACATGAATGCGCTGTTCAAGTGGCATATCAACACAAATTCTAAATATTTATAAATAACATACCTTGGTTTGGTGGTGCTGTAATGAACTAAATTCTTGCTGTATCTGAGTGACAAGTAAATTTAGATTCGAGTAAAGGAGTGTTCTTACGAAATGACAGCAGTGATGAGTTTGGTATTTATTTTTGGCAAACAAATTTTGTGGTTTGCATCATCTTAGACGAGGTGTTGTTCACAGACTGTGAGAGCTGATCTGCGTGCGGTGAGGAGAAATGGGGCTTGTGTAAATTTAATTGTGCTTCATGATGAGATTGTGAGCGTATTTTGGTGAAATAGTGGGATCGATTAATGTGAGAGCTGGTCGTGAGGTATGGGTGGAACGTATTTTGGTGAAATAGTGGAATCAAATGAAGCGCTGTCAGCAGTTGAAGCTGTGCAACAGTGAGGTACCGGTACAGAAGTAATTTTAGCAAACCTGATGGAAAAGCAAGCGGAGCAGTGCGAAGGTACGGTTACACATTCATAAAAATTACATGCACAGCAGCATCTGTTCAAATTACAGCAATTTCTATAAAACAAGTCTTTAATTGCAGGAATTGTGTGTAATACTTACCAGTGAACGGGATTATGTATCTAAATGTTGAGCAAAGTACCATTTTAGAAGGTTTTATCCGTTTCTGAACATGTTCTGCAGACCAACTGTATTATTTAGCGTTTTAGCCTTTCTTGCTGCACCATGTGCGGTTCGTTTTTAACTCAGGCTCATTTTCAATAAAGTGGTGCTATTTATGACCAATACGTTGCAGCTGAACAGCTATCGCATTTGATACGTATCAACCACTCCTTCTCACACATTTTTTTGGCATACTGATTCGTTCTCACTTGACACGGATAAACCATTATTTCTAGTAATCATACGAGATGGTCCTTTCTTATTCGATATATACAAACAATTCTTTTTTGTAGATAGCTGTAGTGATGTACTCACTAGCACGAATTATAGCAGTGATGTATTCGCCACACAAATTAATTGCGCTTTGCTGCGACTGATCATGGCCCGTTTCCTTCGTTTTTATTATTCGTGAATTCCGTACCCCCTCGGAATGGCAAGTGACCACAGAGTAAACTCGTACAGCCCTGAAGGGCGCATTTACCAGATAGAGTACGCCATGAAGGCGATGAACCATGGCGTGACGACCGTGGCACTCACAAACAGGGATGCGATTGTGATAAGCTCAGAGAAGAAGATTCTCTCCAAGCTGCAGGTAACAAGCTCGGCCACCAAACACTACAAGATCGATGACAGGATAGGCCTGGCATTCTCAGGGATAAGCGCGGATGCATCGGTCATAGTGGAGAAGAGCAGGATGTACATGGTGAGCCGGATGATGCAGTACGATGAGTGTAGCAGTGTGATGGGGATATTGAAGAGTCTGTGTGCGCAGAGTCTTAGGTTTGGCGAGCGTGATCCGGGCAAGAAAATATTTTCCAGGCCGTTCGGTGTGTCCATTCTGATAGCTGCGTTCGAGGAGTGTCCCAAGCTGTTCCTGCTGGAACCGAGTGGGTCGTACAAGCAGTTTAAGGCGAAATCGATCGGCAGCGCACACCAAGCGGTGGATAATGAGCTGCTTGATCGGTATGACGAGGATATATCGAGCGATGACACGGTCCTGCTCTCGTACAAGCTGCTCAAAGACGTGATGAAAGATAAGATAAGCCATGAAAACGTTGAAACGATGATAGTGAACAAGGACGGAGTACGGTTCTTAAGCGAAGATGAGGTGGGCAATTACCTGGTGAGGGTTAATTAAATGGAGGGTTTTGTACTTAGAGGTACGTTTTGTGCCGTGCGCATGTTGTTGGTACTACCGCTTATGTCAGTTCTGTCACCCATTTCAATACCTGCGCATTTCCATGCTTTACATCGTCTTTTATTCGGTTGATTTCTCCGCATTTCCTATCAGAATGGTACGGGTGTTCATTCTTGGTATTACATGCAATTCCAATGTTTTCATTTTTTGATCCTTTTCGCTTTCGTATTTTCTACCGATACGTTTTTTTGTGATTATGTGTTTTTATGATTATGTGTTTTTATGATTATGTTTTCCTATAAATATGTTCCCTATCCGCTCCTTCTCTTACTCCCTATCCGCTCCTTCTCTTACTCCCTATCCGCTCCTTCTCTTACTCCCTATCCGTTCCTTCTCTCATTCCCTATCCGTTCCTTCTCTCATTCTCCTTTCACGCCCACTACTACACATTTCACCGTATTATCACCGTCACCTTCCGTCCAAACCAAGACTCATCATTTCCAGCCATCTCACCCATTGTTAGTTCATCCGTGTCCCAGGATCAAAGCCTGACAGCGTTAAAGAAGATAAAATCCCTCAGCGAATATTTCTTGGCAAAGAACGGTAAAAAGACGGACACCAGCATAAAAACGATAAAATCGCCCAATGATTGCTCCATCAGAGTGTTATCCACCGCGTTGTACACCATTTGATTGGAAAAGCCGTTCGCAAAGAACAGAACAAGCGACAGGTAGATGTGGAAGAACTGCTGGTCAATGATGCAGTAGAAGGTGAGTGCCACGATGAGCACCTTCGAAAGGTAGGCGAACACATTATTCGGCATTTTGAAGGGCAGCAACCGGAACAGAAAATCGATTGAAAAGTAGAACACCACGGTTGAGATGTTCTCGGTGCGTGCTGTAAGCACAAGAAACAGAAATATTTCGTTTGTCTTGCACAGCAGGCACAGCACGAACAGGGGCACGTTGCGTTTGCTTGGCTTGTTCTCGTGCACGCTCACCACCATTCTTTCTTTCCTGAGGAGTATCACGCATTGGATAGCACCTGCCACGACGTACAGCAGGATGCACAGGTGATAGTATGGCTGAAAAGACTTTACGCCCGTTATGTACGTCATGAACAGTGCCGAGAGGTAAACAGGTGCCTCCTCAAACACCATGAGCAGTACTCTGTGGTAGAACACGCTCTCGTTGAAGCACTGCTCGTACAGCGAATAGTCGTAGAACAGCCCGATACGGGCTGAAAGAACGTTTTGGATGGACACGAGCACAATGAAAATGTACGGGCTCTTCTCGAAAAGACAGTCCACGAAGCGGCTCACACACATCATGAACACGCACAGAAATGCAACGTACTCGAGCACCTCAAGCGGCCTGTTCGTCCTGCACCGGTGTATAAAGCACAGTTCAACGACATGGTATACCAGGCTCGGCACCATGAACGAAAAAATGGTGGGGTACGATATGCTACCGGTGATTCGCCGGTAGTTGTAGATGAAGAACGACGTGTTGAAGAAGATAAACGATGTTCTGTGCGCGAGCACGTGTGTGATGTGCAGCAGGTAAAACAAAATGCCCGTTTTCGGTGCTTTGAACATTTTTTGTTTCAGCACGGCCTTGTTGTTTTTAAAGGAAGATGAAACATCAGTGATGAATGACAGTGAGCAGTACGGTAATGCGTGGCTGAGGTTTTTGAGGAATGCATGTGTTGAGGATGGAATGCCAAAAATATTACGCACATTGCCGAAATCACCATCCCACCGCCAAATGAAGCATTTCTTCTTGCAACACTTTTTACCACGTACCGGTCCGTTCGCTATGTTTACGCATTGCAAATTACTCGTAAACCGGTCCTCAGCACAGTTCTTTTAATTAACACAGCCTTTCACTCAGGTACCATTAACAGATCGCTAACCAAATTACAAAACCTCCAAAGCAACTGCTACGCACCGTTAAACCATTTTATTTATCTTTCTTGCGCTGTGCTGCGCTCCTGTTCTTGTCGGTCCATCTTCTTCTTCGTATCATGTGCACGTAGAGAAATGAAAAGCCGGGAATGTAGCACAGCATAACAACGCGCAAAAAATATTTAAGAACACCCGTGCATGCCCTTTCCACCCTGCTCACCAGCACAATCTCGCACAGCGTGCCCAGTGGGTACAAAACGATAAAAAGGTTGTACCGCAGGAACTTAACGGTACCGTTCCTTGAGAAGTAGAAGAGGTAACGCACCGTATCGCTTACAAACCAGCACAGCAGCATGATGTGCACCACTGCATCTGCAAAGCCGTACCGGTAACAAATGCACCAGATGATGAACAGCCTGCTGCTCAGCTGCATGCACGTGGGAAATAGCCGTGATTTGCTTGCGTTCGTTAGGATGTTGAGCACTTCTAAGATGTAGAACGACTGGCACAGAGCAATCCTGAAGATGAAGTGCATGTTTTTTGAGAAGTAGTTCAGTGCGATGGATGAGAGTGCAAAGGCACCTACGAGTGTTCCTGCTAGGTTGTACAGATTGATGTACTTGAGCATGGGGTGCAGAAAATACCGAAATTTAATTAAACAGGATTTGATGTTTGTGGGAAGTGATGAGAAGATGAGGAGATGAGGAGTAGAAGATGAGGAGTAGGAGATGAGGAGTAGGAGATGAGGAGTAGAAGAATGGAAGATGAGGAGGAATAGGAGATGAGGAGTAGAAGAATGGAAGATGAGAAGATGAGAAGATGAGGAGATGAGGAGATGAGGAGATGAGGAGATGAGGAGATGAGGAGATGAGGAGATGAGGAGATGAGGAGATGAGGAGATGAGGAGATGAGGAGATGAGGAGGAGTAGAATGGAAGATGAGGAGGAATAGGAGATGAGGAGGAATAGGAGATGAGGAGTAGGAGATGAGGAGGAATAGGAGATGAGGAGTAGGAGAATGGAAGATGAGGAGTAGGAGATGAGGAGGAGTAGGAGATGAGGAGGAGTAGGAGATGAGGAGGAGTAGGAGATGAGGAGGAGTAGGAGATGAGGAGGAGTTACACTAGTAGTAGTAATAACTAAGTAGTAATAACTAAGTAGTAATAACTACCATGCTGTACCTTTGATGTTGATTCTTCTTTCTATGGAACGTAGGGAGGTGTACGCAACGAATTTATGATTAATACGGTGCTACCATGCTAAAGGAAATGATTCGTAAAAAGATAATGAGGATCGATGAATACCCCGCAGCATAAATTAGAGATGGCTCAATCGTATTTTATGCATAGCGTGATTTATTGGGCGGGTCTGTTCATGCATATCTGTACCACGCATGAGTAAGTGTGATTGGTACATTTTGATGTCTTAGACAGTAATTTAAAATACGGATGGTATTTGCAGATGATAAAGAGGTGCTTAAAAATCAATTCACATGATTGATACGTGTGATGGTGCTCTTAAGCCTATTCTTGCTGATCGTTGCATAAATGTCCATTTATTATTTAAATTGAGAAACACTCCTTCTCCGCTCATCCATCATCCGGTCCGCAATCCTAACCTTAATTCGTAATAAATCGTGAAACGTATTCCAAAACAGATCTGCTACCATGTTACACTCTGATAGATTAACAATAAAAATAAAATATTTAAGCATAAATAAAAGAACCCTTCAAAAACGATGACGCTAATAATCAAAGACATACCGAGCGAGCTATTATACGACGAGCTGTACGACTACTTCTCAGAATATGGCAGGATAAACGATTTTAGAATCAAATACAACTACGGGTACCTGTGCTACAACAATTCGGACGTGGAACGCAGAGTGTTCAGTACGTACCACAAAATATCGGGATACAAACTGAATGTGGACAAGGCGGGACAGGGCGATGTGGTGGACAGGTGTCTGCGCTGTCCGATGCACTGTGGTGGTAGGGACCGTGAGTTCGTGCACAGCAAGACCGATGATAGATACCACGAGAGGGTGCAGCGCAACGGACACCCCCTAGACAAGTTCAAGGTGGTACTCGACAACATCCCGGAGTGCAATGTGATCGAGCTCAAGGACTTCGTGCGCACGTTCCGTCTAGACCCTGTTTACGCACGCATCACGCAGTCTGGTCAGCATGGAATCGTTGAGTTCGGTTCAATTGAGGCGAAAGAGGATGCACTCAGAATACTTGACAATGTTACGTTCAAAAACATGCAGATCGGATGCAGGCCGTACTACACCAGGGAACGGAAGAACTTTGATGACGAGGGGTACAAGCGTAGGGATTACCATGCACAGGACGGACAGCACATGAAGGATGGGATGGGTGAGAAAGGCCTTCCAATGGAAAAGGAGGAGCTGTGTGAGGATTTGAAGGGATGGAATGAGAGCATCATTGATAACAGCAAGAAATAAATTTGGTTTTAATTACGGGCAATCACGCGATTCATTTTGTTTTGCCACAAGTACGTTTGTTTGTGTCTGCGTGTGTCAACAGGTTTGTTAAAATTACTGCTAAAGAGGTGGATTTGTCCTGCGGTACGGGGAGCTAAGGATTTGAACAAAAATTATTGTTAGAATGGGCAGAAAGCTCTATTCTGACAAAATACGTGTGTTTATCACCTCATGTACAACAGAACATTCATAATTACCGTTGTTGGTCTTTCTTCTAACCTCTAACCCTAATATTTTATGCGTGCGCATTGTTCATTATGAAGAACGTGCACTCGCATAAACAAAGATAATACGAACGCTAAGAATGGCATAAAGTTCAATTCGTAGGATAACGTACTTTTAATCACTTTCATCCGAATACGAAACACGTGTAAAGCACACTTGCACGTACGGACCTATCCTATTCACTAGCATTACGAACATCCACTAAGTATTTGCGCAGTTCTTGCTGAAAGGTATCCTCTCGTTTAGTGCACTGCCCATTGCTGCATCTTTTCACCCTCATATTTTCAACAAGCACATTCAACCCTTGTATCTGCTCGACAGACATTCTTTGCAGATACTGCTGTGGCAGATTGGACGCGCAAACCTTTCCAGAGCAGGCAATACGGATGATAAAGGGCATCAGATCGCACAATGAAGCGGTATTATACGCACATTCATAAAATATGCAACAATTAACGCACGGATCATTACCTTCTGCTTTTTCCATCACGCTTGAAATATACAACGGCTTTTTAGGCCTGACTTGGCCATCTACCTGCTGCGGTAAGACTACAAGCACCATGAACGTGGTGTTGCTCTGCTGGCATTGATCGAGAAGATTCTTTATGAACTCTACAAGGAAGGAAAAGCTGCTCATATCGATTTGTGGTGTGCTTTCTGTAGGATGTGCATCACAAGTAGTGGTATGTTCCTTTTCATACACTGCGTACCGCGTGAGTGCATGGATCATCGTGAATAAATTCATCATATAACATAGCCCACCTCTGAACTGCTCCGTGACCATGTTGTGAGATGCGCCCTCGGTCTGTTCTGTGACCGTGTTGTGAGATGCGCCCTCGGTCTGTTCTGTGACCGTGTCACCTGGTGGATTCTCGGCTTGCTCCGTAGTCATCTCCGCGATTCGTCCCAAAACGATATCATGTGGTTTTTCTTCATCGTTCCCTAAAACCAGCTTATTCGTCCGACTTGATGATCTTTCCGCGTGTTCCCTCCTCACATATTTCCTCTCAATACACCCACTACCACTAATCGTACCAACTCTCAAACAATTCTTTAAATCCTTAAGCAGGCTGTGCAACACTTTCTCCACTTTTTCATACCCCTCCTTCGTACCCTTCATCATAAAATGATCCTCGCGATCGGAGAGGTGCATAACTCTTCCATCTGCGGTACTGCGCAACACCGACAGAAGGATGTGCTGTGCTTGTTCATCCTTTGATCGTGCACGGTACACATCATCCTTCATAATGCGCAGGTAACCCTCGCAACTGTACCCTGTACTTGTAAACTTCTTCTCCCGTGAGAGAATACCAAGCATATTCAATGTGTACTCTTTCACCAAATTAATTGTTGTGGTATGAGATGCCTCATCATTTGGAAGATGTGCCTTGTCAACAAAACGGTTCAGCACGCTTGCACTGCTATGCAGCGGTTGTTCGTTTTTTTGTTTGATACTCGGCGTTATACGGCCAACCTTCAAAGAACGGCCGGTTCTTGAGCGGTCATCTGGAAGAACGCAGCCATTACCAGCAGTATGATTCTCAACTATTGATTTGTTCCCAACAACACCTTTTCTTCTCACATCTAAGCCTTTTAACTCTCTTCCAGGTGCATCCAACGTTCTGTTCATCTCTTCTGATCTTGCCCATACCACACAGCACAAACACACCAACACATGCAGCATACCGCTACTCCTTCTGACCACGAACATATTTCCATCGCTATTCATAATTTTGCAGTTTGATTTCTTGAATATCATCATGGTCTGTTCTTTTCTTCTCTTTAAATACTTTTCGCTTGATAAGCCGTATCAATTTAAAAAACGAAAGGAAGAACAGTGCGAAATTGAAGAAGGATGTGGCGAGGAATAGACGGGATGACTGGGTAAGACGTCAAAGATGGAAGTATAAATGGAGAATGCAGAAATGGGAAGGTGTAATTAAAAGATAATTGATGTAGAGCAAAGCTGAAAACGTAAATTAAAAAAATTTAATCAACGACCACGATAGCGCACTGCTGTTCCACACAACATGTACCGTGATTGCACATCATCTGACTGGCAAAAATAAATTAATTTGCAGTGTTAGCCTTGTGATCTGAATCTATTGTTTTATCCCACCATAGAACGTCTTTTTGTTCGATTTACCATCTTTTCACAGCCGTGTGCGTATTTTTACAAAGGTTCACTGGAAAACTCCGCAGTGTACGTGAAATGATGAACCGTTCACTGTGCTTGGTGTTGCGCAAGATTTATAGGCGATACAATGGTTTTGGCGTGCTATCACGATATGTACTGTGGTATCATTACATGCTGCGTACTGCTCTACGTATTTCTACGCGCTCTGCTCTAAAAACTAACTTGATTTACTCCACCTGTCATAGGATGAACATTTCTATCTGTCATTGTATGACAGGTGAATCGCTTAACTTTGCTTATTGCCCGCGTACTGGTGATAAACTACAAAGGAATGAGAATGCATCTTTGCAGCGATGCACAAATGCTCGTTAAAATATTTCTTTACCTTCGATATGCTCGATAAATCTGTGCACAGCACGATATTCACGGTGAACCGCAATTACCATCGTTACTTGTGCGTTCAAACTGGTAGATGGGAAGCGTTCATGCCTGTACACGTTAATTAAACAGGATATAATTTTTATAACGCACAAATATGTCCTATAGGTGCTTTTATGGACGCGCAGTTCAATGAAAATAGGGAATAGGGTTAAGTGCTGACCAAGAGCGCATGGCAGAGCTTAAACTGGATATGTGCAGATCGTACAGTTTTAAGGATAAAGTTAAGTTTTTGACTTGGGTAGGCTGCTGCTCTTAGCGGTGGTACAGCTGATCTACTCTAAAACGTAGTTCTTACGAAAAGTGGCGTGTTCACGCAAACTAGGTATCAATGGTAGATCATGCTATGCAAAGCAGCGTGCACCTACTCCGTTTGGTAGACAGAACGTTGCGGCTAGCAGCCAAATCATACTTTTTTGGCACTCTCATCCCTTTTAAATCAAAGCTTAGGAATAATCTGGGTAACAGAAACGAAGAGATGCACATGATGCTTTCAACCGGTGAGCAAGGTTGAAAGACCGAGCAGTTCATTTTTTTATGGCGCAACTACGGTTTGGCAATGGGTACAGGCGATGAAACGTGCGAACGCAACACACGGATTGGTTGTAAAGTGCTAATTAAATAGACTTTTTTACAAAAAGGTAATACTGCGGTGTAGTAAACGGTGTTATTTGGATTGATTGACGAGAAAGTAACAGTGAAACAGCGGTAGAATATGATACAGTACGTAGATATTGAAAAATAAATGAAGCTGCTAGTGCGTGTACTTTATTCCCTTATCATGGATTGCTTAACGTATTTTTGTACTCAAGGCTTTGGCTGTGCTGCTCTTTGCTCGCACGCGCTTTAAAATGCATTGAGAATCAAATGCAGATACACCGCTAAATAAACTTAGCACTCTGCTCGTATCTCACCGGAACGGATTATACGTTTATAACGTGACACGTAAACCGATTCATTAATCAATTCGTGATGTGCCATATCTCGTTAATTGAAATGCATCATTTGATGTGATGGACATACGTTTGCGTGATAACGGACATGTGTGTTCGTAGGACATAGCCTGTCAAATAATTTGTTTTTGTGGTACTTTACAGCATTACGTATCGTTTTTCGCCGTGTGGCACACCCCATCGTACCATATTTTTGATCGGTCTATCGAATAGTGGTGAATTACGAATTGGGCTAATTGTAAAAAAATACAAAATTTGCAGAAATAAAAATTTTTGTTGGCAAGCAATGTTTCTGGTGAAGGAGAAGCGAAATGGATAAGAATAGCATGCTTTACGATAAGAATGTACGGGAGAAGCACAAAAATGCATTAGCCTATTATGGTAAAGATAAAAATACAAATAAGCAAAAACCCATGTTCTGGAAGATATTTATGTTGTCATTTCTCTCGTATAAACTGCTTTTGGAGATTTCTCTGTTGTTCGCAGATCCTAGTATTGATATGGAGAGGTTAAGAAATGAACTTACGAGTCTAAGGGAAAGAAAGATGGTTTTGTCAGGCATTGAGCAAGCACAAACGCTAAAAGAAAAGTTTGAGGTTCACATAAGAGATAATGTGATGCATGACACAGTAGGCGATACTGAGTATGAAGAGAAGGGGTGCGAGGTGGGAGATGACACTGGGCGTGGAGAGAACGGACGCGAGGTGGGAGTTGATACGAGGAGTCTAGGGAATAATGGAAATAGCAGGAAACTTAGGAAATGTAATGATAGGGAAAAAAATAGTGAGAGAAAAAGCGTGGTGATGGGGCCGAGAAATAATGATCAGGAAAGAATGAGAATGGCGACTTATTGCTTAAAGTGTCTGGGTAAACGAAAACGGGATGAGACTGAGCAAAGAGGTATTACGTGCGAGGGAGAACCAATGCGTAAAAGAATACGACTAAATAGCACATATGTTAAGAAGGTGAAAGAAAAGCGTGCAACAAATTCAATTTACATAAAATCTCTGAAAAGGCGTTCTTTTCTAAGCTATGCAGATGCTATGCCAAGTGGTGATTATGATAACCAAGACAATAATACACAAGGTGCTGGTTTTTGGTCAGGTTTAAAAAACATGTTTAACGATAAGATCCTCAAAAATGGCCAGCGATTCGTTGATCGTATGTTGGGTAGGAATCAAAATCAAGATTTACAGATCAATGCTACGGGCACAGGAAATGCTCGGACCGATGCTGGGGAGGATTTACATAGTGATGTCGAGGGCGATGAAGATTTTTATAGTTATACCGATGACACTGGCAGTGTACGGACCGATGTCGAGGAGGGTTCACAGGCCAATGCCGATGACACTGGCAGTGTACGGACCGATGTCGAGGAGGGTTCACAGGCCAATGCCGATGACACTGGCAGTGTACGGACCGATGTCGAGGAGGGTTCACAGGCCAATGCCGATGACACTGGCAGTGTACGGACCGATGTCGAGGAGGATTTACAGACCAATGCCGATGACACTGGCAGTGTATTGACCGATGTCGAGGAGGGTTCACAGGCCAATGCCGATGACACTGGCAGTATACGGACCGATGCTGGGGATACACATCCAGCACACGGTTTCAATGTGGCTGTTAGAGCATCATCGCAAGCAACAGAACATAGCATTGCATCAACGAAAAAGTCGTTTATGGAAAATGGTTATGCGACTGTCAGTATATATTGCTCGTCAGCCATGAAATGGATAGGTAATAGCTTCTGGGGAATGATGGGTTATGGATCCTCAGAAGGTCAAAGAGATGGCTCAGCAAACGCAACGACTCATGATGATCGAGCGAATATACCATTAGCTAGCATTTCACCTTCTGGCCTAACTGATGATCTAACGGACGGTTCATCAGCAGGACTCTTGGTTTCTACACACTCAATCAACAATCCCAATTTATCACGCAACTCGCTGGATAATTCAATTGATGCAGATGGGTGTTCAGACACAACAAAGGACAGATTTACAAGATGGCTTAATTTTGAAAACGAAACGCCTCAAACAACCCATACTAACACGCCAACAGAAGAATACGATTTTTCATTTGAAGACAGAGCAAATTTAGCGGGTGACTTACCAGTTCAAAGGGATGTGTCTGCGAATGCGATACATCCCGGTGTTTTTCATCCCCATGATATGCGTAGTACAGGATTGCCGGCTGATCATAGTTTGTTGGACTCATGTGGTACTTGTATTGCATCAGATGATCAGTCGTTGAATGATTCGGTGTTCGAACATGAGATGAGTACGCCAGACACTTTAAGTACATGCTGTACGCCTAGAAGTCTAGAAGATTCGGAAAGGATTGCAGACACAGACTTCCAAGCAGAACCACTTACCGAGATTGCTGATAACAATTCATCCAAATCAGAGGATTCTTCTAATAATTACTGCCGGCTAAAGCGGAATCATTCACTCAATGATAGAATGCTCTCACGACAAATATCGACGCAATCACAGATTAAGCAGCCGGAGCCTCCTTTGAACGTTTCACATTCCAAATCAGAGCATTCCGCAAATTCTCGTCCTCCTATACTGCCTTTAATTACTATGGGCGGTAGTGGCAGTGGCGGGGGAAGTAGCGACAGTGGTGGTGGTACTATAAGCGGTGGTGGTGGCGGAAGTAACGGCGGTGGTGGTGGCGGCAGTGGTGGCATCGACAATAACAAAGCACCAGATCCGGAAAATACCGACCAAAATGATGATAGATCATCTCATAAAAGCATGAGCGTAGTCACAAGGATACTTCTCTGTGTTGTGCTTCTTATTCTCATCGCGCTGGCAATCACCGCCTTTTACTACGGTTTCAAGTGGTAAGAACTCGTCAGATACAGTGCTGAAGATGAACTCCTTCAAGAACGAATGTTGTTGTTTATGCGTTACGCGACGTGCATATAATAATATGGCGTGTTCCTCTTTATGCAAATAGCTTGGTGCGTGATCAGTATCGCTATTATTGCTGCTACAGTGCTGAGTATGATATAGTGTTAATTTATGAAATGGTTTTAATTCTGGTTGCAGAGTAAATAAAATAGTATGTTTAATGGTTTTTCTAAGACAAAATTCGTTGTTTTGAACTTTTGGTGCTGATTTCATTGAGAACGATGCTTTGGCATTATCTGTGGAAAAGCACAAATTTAAGGGTATGAACTGCCTTAAGGGTAGGTGTTGCTAGAAATGGTAATTTTATTGTTGTTGAAGAAGATATTTTACCTAGTGTTGGCATGAAGAAGCAGTAATTTGACACCACTGATCTAATTTGGTTTTGAAATGAGCAGTTACTTGTAATGATAGAAAGCCTGTTTGATCAGACGGGTTGCATAGGATAAAAATATTGAAATAGGTAATGTCGAGCAACAAGGGCAATAAAGGTAAACTTGCTTAGAATTAAGAAGTAAAAATGATTGCGATCGATAAGTGGTATCGTTGTTGCATCCTTTTCTTATGTGAAGGGATATATTAGGTGTTTTCTGAGATCATGGCGTTCCTGCTAACAAACTTACGCAACAAATTATGTGCTTTACGCACAGAATAATCGTGGAAAAGCCGTCAAACATATGATGAAGACACAAAGGCTCTTACTATTGGTATGAATTGTCTTATAAATCAACTCAAAGCACGATGAAGACACAAAGGCTCTTCATTCACACACCAAGAAATGTTGTGCAATTTTTTAGTACGTTGTACTCTGCAAATTTTTTTACGATGAAATGAGCTAAGCTCCGTTACCACATCGATGTGTTCGTACGTATCGTGATCTGCACGTCTTCTGCTTATCATTACCATCATTTTTTTAAAAAAACAACAACCGAGGGGCTAGGAGAGAATGTCGGACCAGCAGGAGGATGATAGTTTGGCACAATGGGAAGAGTTTTTCGAACGCAACAAGAAGGAGGGTAAAGAGTACTTCTTGGTGCAGAACTTTTATTCGAAAGACAATTTCCATTTCAGCGATTCAAATACGAAGTGCACAGCCAAAGATGCAATGCAGTACGTTTCGCTGCTTGACAAGGAGGACTTTTCTTCCGGTGTCACCTTCAGCAACAACAAGTACACGTTCATAAAGAAGTTTGAGTACAGCTCGAAAGAGAATCTACCGCTCTACTTCTTTCTCAGCAAGGAAGAGGTCGTCGGAGATGACAAAGAGCGTGTCAGTTTGATTGTGAAGTTCATCACGGATGAGGTGATTTTCATCGGAAAGTGTCTTAATAGCAAGAAAACGACAGCGATAAACTTTGTGGGTAAAAACTACAATTACTATTAAAATTTCTGAGTATTACGCCCTTCTACGTACAGTGTTATTCCCGTTTTGGTTAATATTTCCTCTGCCGTAATTTTCAGGTTTTTTCTTTTTTGATTTCTGTGAAGTGTTATCCATAATAGCATCCATTCCAATTTGCCTGTTCTAATTTTTGTTCCGTGCTAGCGGAATAAATGGCCGATCTTTTCATTGGAGAACCTATGAACAAAAGGCCAGTGCTCACGATCGGTACTGGCTGACAATGAAAGCATGTTTGCTTGGATGAGGTTGATGTGTGAGGAGACAAATAAATGTAATTTGATGAAGAAAAATTAAAGAACATACATAACGAGATATTACGATGGTTAATGCACTCTTTCATCGCATTATGGCATTGCTTATTACAAGCCGTTCTCATGGTTATTGCCATATAAGTTGAAGGAATTTCAAAGTCAAGGTGTTGCCTTGCCATGAAATTGCGGAAGCAACCCGAGTGGATGATTTATCTCGAATAACGAGTACAGGATTGTGCTGTTTGTATTTCTAAAAGAGTACAAGAAAAGACGATCGCAATGTGGCAACATCCGTTTTACACGCCATGTAGGCTCTGCATTGCATGTTCGAAAAACATCAAATATCGCGCAGCAACATTTGAAGAACGCTTGGTCCATTTGTTGATACTCATTTGCGGGCACAGTATCAGGATATGAAAGGAGTGCAGTCCTGTGCACATGTAACTATCGGTTACAACTGTCCGATAAAGCAATTTCAGAATTTTTGACAGTTTAGAGGGAACCGACCACTTAAAACAAGCATCAATACGCCGTTGTACAAGAAAGAGCTAATACGCTGTTGTACAAGAATGAGCTAATACGCTGTTGTACAAGAAAGAGCTATCGTTGCTAACTAATCATTTTTACAAGATCACAGCTAAACATACAATTGCTACATACACTTATTTCAATGTAAAGCATGGCGAATAGTATCAGTTCAATCTATCCAGCAAAACATTTATTCGTCGAGTAAATTTCTTGCACGCTTTATAAATATGAGTAACAACTTTTGACGGCCATCTTTTGATGGATGTGTGAACATAAAAGCTACACTTCGCGAACAACTGTTGGTATTATAAGTGCATCTCTCAGAAGTAAAAGAGTTAGCATCGTACAACACTTCAGTAAACCACTCACTAAAATTTTGACACAAGATAGCAAAGTGTGGTAATGCAGGCGAAAGTCTTGTATCCTGTAATATGAAAAATTTGACGAGCATGGAATGCCATAGATTGTAGAGATGAACGTTTAAAATTGTTTCATCAGATCAGCGTAGAGCATGCTGAACAATAGCAAGCGTTTTAGCACTTAAAAATGATACAGGAACAAGTCAGCCATAACGAACACGTACAAACATCACTTACGGTTATAATTCTTTATGGTAACACATTTACTTTTCTCAAGAAACCTGTTTTCATATTTGTCCATTAAATCCGTTTATATATTACCATTCACCAAAAAAATTTACGAACACATTGCATGAAGTCTGTTACTGCACATTTATCATGATGATCGCTATAACGAGTAGCAGTAGAAATTCTCCGCGGGTAAACGAACTTACACCCCGAGTTGTCAAAAAGAAGGAATGATGTGTAAATGATGAATTGTTACATCCTTTCTACGAAAGTATTTTTGTTTATTTAAATGCGCTCCACATCACGAGCAAGCACACTTTTTGATACACAAATCAATGCTAACACCTCCTTCCATCACATTAGATAAAGTCTCCTTAAGCGACATAGAGCGTACTAACATCGCAAATTAATTCTCACAACGACCTGATGATACGGTCACATATTTTTGCTATAGTTGCAGGTGGCTAAAGGTTATAAATATCCAATTATAAAACGATCTTCTCTTCCCTGCGCTGTTTCTCTCTAGCCCAATTGCTTTGCTTGAGTATGAAAGCCTGTTTAAAATACATCAAATTTAACAATTGCCATACTTCTCTCCTGTGCAAGAACTCCTTAGAGCACACATTAACTTTTTAATCATTTTGCACTCTGTTTCTGTGATTTCCATGTTTTATCGATTTTAATCCGTTAGTGCGTGTCTTTCAGAGTATGTTCTAATCAAATAGCACGATCAAATCAAAACTACTCTTTTTTGGTGGTGACGTATAAACCGTCATCGTAGAAAAGGAGTGCTTGTAGAAAAAGTATGAGAAGCGGACAAAACAGCCGATCAAAAACGCACTTAAACCCGACCAACAATAAAACATGGAGATAGTGGATACTAAAATGGAAATAAGTGCTGTTATTTTCGATTCAACCTATTGATTGTATGAAAGAGAAGAACCCGTTTTGTTGATAGAAGTAATAATGCAGTACATGAGATTTTAAATAGATATGTTACTGATAAAATACTATAAAATATATTTTGGGAATGGTTGAACGATATATTAATTTTTTTATCTATCCTTTATTAGACAAATTAATCGTACCAGCAATTATAACTATTTTAGAATCATTAAATTACGTCGTTTTCGCTTCTGAGGCGCATTCTCATTGATTTAATACACTTAGTTGAGTAACAATCCTCCATAAATGGACAATCGGCTGTGTTTAAATGATTAGTTTATCGCAGCATAGATCCTTCTTACCATGTTAGATTTAGATTGGTGAAAAATAAAACGCTCTAATCTAAAATACAATCATTCTATGTTATTGCATATCATATAGCGATATTTGCATCAACTCTGTGACAGAAAAATGGTTAAATGATACCTGAATCTCCTTCAAATGATGGCATACTATTTTTAAAAAAAACAAAATTAAAAGCAATTTAAGCGTGTATCAGACATTAGACGCACGGATTTTCCGTGTAATCGTTTTTTTAAAAAATGCGAGTACCCGCTTGGCTTGCTAAAAATAACTAATTGTATGAAATGTCTTTTGTGGCGTATCGTCTTTTGTATATTTGGTAGTGACCAATTTGAAACAAAATGTTTGTTGTCAGAATCAGAAACATGTTTCAAGATTATTTATAAAAAGAAAAGATATACCCTATCACATGTCACAGGATTTAAATGTAAGGGCAGTCAAGATGTTTCTTACGAGGCGTGGTGAAAAACTTATCGGTGTTATGCGAGAAAGGAAAGCATATTCTAATTTGGTATACCAGATAGTGTCAAGCAAAAAACGCTATCTTTTCAAGCAGTACATAAATAGGGAGAGGAGTAACGAATTTGAAATATTAAAATATATTAATGTTCCCAAGGTATATGAAATGGCAAAGGATTATCGAATAGAGGAGTTTATACAACATCAGGTCCCCGATTTTAAACGGGACATCACGCTCATAGCGGCTGCTTTAGCACAGTTTCATTGCATAGAGGTGCCTTGCATCGAAACCTTTGAGGATATGTTAATGAAATTTATCGCCGAAAACCAGACTCTGAACCATAGCGAGTCTATCACAACAATTTACAACAAGATCAAGTATCTGTTGGAGGACACCTCAATGGATGGACTCATTCATATGGACTTACAGGTAGGAAATATGTTAAAAATTGATAACGTGGTACGTTTGATCGACTTTGAGTACAGCTGCACCGGAAATATTGCCCTTGACATTGCGAACTTCTTTTGTGAGACCATGACCGATTACCAGCAGGACAGCATTTTGAGAGTTGAACGGGGATTCAATACAAGGCAAAAAAAAAAATTTCTTGAGGAGTATCTCAGACACAACGATCGGATGACCATGGATGTGGAGGAGCTCTACGTCAAGGTCAGGGAAATGGAGTGTCTGAGCCACTTTCTTTGGTTCCTTTGGGGACGGAAACGTCTATTCATGGACGATATTACATCGGATTGCTTTGATTACGTTACGTACAGTTTAAATCGCCTAAGCTTCCTTGAATGCAAAGAATTCGATTCTGATATATCTGAATTGCGCGAGGAACTTGAAGGTTTACAGCACCCCGACAAGAGTGAAAAAGTGCAGCACGAATAATGCTCATTCGCAAGAATTATTCATTAAAATCCGTTGTAGAGTTTCTTTTATGAATATGTGTTTTTTACAACATTTCTGGCTGCTACATCTTGAGAGTAATTGAACATCGCCGGAGTTCTGCGAAGTTGGCAATGAATCATTCATAGAGTTTGGATTAGAAGTGGTCACATAAAGCAGATAACAATTTAATATATGATAATTGTTCTGTAAAACGGTACCAGCGATCATTTTTGGCATTACTCCATAACTACAATTATATAATAATTTTGTTCAGCCCCCCTGCAATGAACGTTCAAAAATGTAAGGCCTGCGGATCAACGGATATAGATAATGGCTATTCAACAAGCAGCATATGCTGCAGGAAATGTGGTACGCTGAATGAAGAATTGTTCATCACGTCATCACTTAATTTTACCGAAAATAACGGAGCATCACAGCTGAACGGACAGTTTGTACGAATGACAGATACGTACGCTAAAGTGGGCGGTAACATAATAAGAACAACGAACCAGCAAATTCAAAACCAGATTAAAAACATATGTGCGTCTCTGGGTCTCTCGGATGAAGTCGCACAGAGCGCACACAGATGGTACAAGCTGTCTCTGCAAGGAAATTTGACAAGAGGAAGAAACATTCTGTACACACTCAGCGCTTGCATTTATATTGTGTGTCGGCAGGAAAAAACACCACACCTGTTGATAGACTTTGCGCATTTACTCGACTTGGATGTTTTCAAAATCGGTAATATTTTTGTGAGAATCGTTGTGTTCTTGAACGTG